GAGAGAGAGAGAGAGAGAGAGAGAGAGAGAGAGAGAGAGAGAGAGAGAGAGAGAGAGAGAGAGAGAAGATTCCTATGAGATTTTAAGGCAAACTATTGTGGCAATAGCTCCGAGGAGGTTTATATTGAGGGCAGCCATTGTACCATAACAAAAATCAGCCTTTTTAGTCTTTGCTAGCACATTAAGGCTCTTAAGAGACATTTCACTTTTTTTTGGCCCCATGCCAGACTTCTTCCTCCAATGTAAGGGGGGCAAAATATCATACATATTTAACAGCTGATCTCCTGTATAACTTCCCAGACAAATGTAACTCTGTGTCTTTGGCTGTTTTGCCAGCAAGTTATTTAGCCTCGTCAGCATAGCTGTAAATTTCTAAACACCACCGAGACCGAATTGAATTCAATCTTTTATGCATCTTGGGACATGTCCAAAACATTTCTGATTCCCCCCACCCCCCAAAATCTCTCTGACATGGAGCAGGTGTGCTTTAAAATGATAGCAACTCATCAAGACTCAATTGTTATCATTCTGACTGTGCTTTCTTAACCGCATCCTGTTGTGCGCACCTGGCCCTAGAGGGAACTTGCATTCATTGGAACAGACAACAGCCAATCTTGGAGTGGATTTTTCTTTCTTAAATACTGTCAGGGAAAACATGAAAGACTTGTTGAGGCAGCAGGTGGTGAAAGGGGGAGGAATAGAATTAAACCTGGATGAGAGATAGAAACGGACTTGATTGTATTTGCGGGAAATGTTCCGTAGTTGTGTGTTTCTGCCACTAAGGGGGTGAACATTTGCATCGGAGTCAGCTTGCAATTATTCTCCTTTCTATTCCATGGGTAAAGAAAAGCATCTGAATCAGAGCTGACCTACTTTAAAAAATACCATCCTGAATTGTTGCAGTCTAATCTCTTGACATGACTATTTGGGGAAAATATTCCGTAATAGACCTGACTGTTTCTGATCCTCTCTGCCGGGGAGAGACAGAAGAAGCAACGGAACTACAACTTTTATGTTCATCTCAAAAACCAGTACTTCAAGTATAATAACCTACTTGAAATTTGTAGTAGACGTATCCCAGTGAATGGCATTTGTAGGGGGAAAGTGGGGAAGAATGACAGAATAACAGAGTTGGAAGGAACTTTGGAGGTCAATCAGAATGGAGTTGGAAGGNCATACATACATACATACATACATACATACATACATACATACATACATTGTGCAGCTTTGAACCTCTGCAACAAACGCTACATATTGAGTTCCTGCCGAATTTACCTTTCTGCTAAAACTTAAAGAATGCAAGCCAAACGCTTTCAGCCTGCTTTGTAGAAGACTGACTAAGAACCTTTGAAAAAAAAAAGAGAGTTGGGAGTAACTGTTTCTGAGGTTTACATACCTCCAGAAAGCCGGTGCTGAAGCATGAGGTTAGCTTTGACTCTGTTGCCATAAACTTTGCTCTATTTCCTCTGAATCCTTTTCGGACTGCTTCACATCTCCATTAGCCCCGCTGTTTATGGACTTGGTGTCTTCAAATCTGCAGAGCCTGCTGTTCGGAAGGCGAGAAAGCTGCCAGAAATGAATCTGGGAAAAAGAAGAAGGAAAAAAAAGATACTCAGCATGAAAAGGAGAGCAGTGCAGGAAAGAAAAAGCACAGAGAAGGAAGACGATACCTTCACTTCGACCCAAAAGTCATTAAAAGGCTGGTGGGGTGGGAGCCAATGTCCTCATCAGCAGAAACTCTGAATGACACCTTCATTCCTGGACGAAAAGAATGGTCGGCGTTTCACTCTTTAAGCCCTAGTGCCTGAGTTGGGAAAAAAAGGTTTGAGTATGCTCTTGGAGAACAGGAGTTTTTCGAAACCATTTTTAAAATTTATTTTATAAAATACTAGCTGATAACCAGGCGTTGCCTGGGTATTTATTTATAGGGAGGAAATGTCAGGACCAAACGTAATTTCTAATGTTGGATTTTCCTCCTTACCAGAGGGAGCCCCCTTGTGGAGTACTGTGAAGCCGTTGCCATGACAATTCCACTGCGCTGTACAGTAGAAGCCATTTAAAGGCACAACAGGGTGCATCATAACAGAACACACACCACGGGGAGGCATTAGGGGTATCTTACCCCACAGTCTTTTAATCCAGAGAGTAAGTTGTCTGTGTACCAAATTTGGTTGAAATTGCTCAAGGCGTTCCAGAGTTATGCTGTAACATACATACACACACATACACACACTGCCATATATAGATATATATAGATATAGATATAGAGATAGAGATAGAGATAGAGATAGAGATAGAGATAGAGAGAGAGAGAGAGAGAGAGAGAGAGAGAGAGAGAGAGAGAG